TCGTTTGATAGTAACATCACATATACGCAGCAAAAGCATGAGATTTCTTGTCATATATTGTGAGGACATTGTTCTACTTTGAAACATCAGTCGGATTTTTACGCTCTTTACTATGAGAACTATCAATACAAAATGACTCTCCCCATAAATTCAGCAGATTGTTTGGGGCCTTTTCTTGGTATCGTCGCGACGGTTTAGCCACTTGCAAATAATATAAACTCTCTGTATTAATAAGGTGCATATAAGACTTGTAACCACGTTACATAGTTTTGTGAAACTATTGCCTACTATGATATTAGTACTGCGCTAATAATAGACCTTATCCTAAAATTGTAGACTTGTCATGATATAACTGCCTAATCTATAAGATCTTAGGTAGAAGTCATATCACCATCTACATCAACTCATCGTATCGTAACAACCACCAATACATGATGTAGAACAAGCTTAGACTAGAGACACAACAATATATTTAATATGAATAAAAGACATAAGGTGACATTCAGCAGGGACCACGCTTGCATGGTCGAGCCATGCCATAGGATCAACTCCAATCAATTCAACCCATTGTTTCCGCCTTCTCCATCGTTAGGTATTTCTCCGCGTTAAATATTGAATATCTATTTTCCGAGTTATCTCATGTTCAGCTTTGAGGATTGTGAGGTTACGGTCCAATGCCACAACAGTTCCTTTTAATTTGACACGAAATTGGGAGGAAATATCGCTTCCATCTGTACATATTTCTGAAGCAACCGCGATATAAGGTCCAATTACATCGATGACAAATGATTCAGAGTTTAATTTCACAGCAACGGCAAGGTTATCATCCTTTGAAAAAACTAATTAATCAGAATGACGGTTCGTGGAGATGGTAGTAGTTCAGTAGTTGAGTTAACGAACCGATTAAAGCTAGACCACCACTGAAAACCCGGAAGCACTGGGTGGCCGTCTCGTTCTAGCATAGGACTCCTCATTAGTGCGCCTCCACAATCTTGCGCGCGGGACTTGAACCTTGAACCTTCAGTCTCACGCGCGGATGCCTGACCTTCGGACCACTGAGCCAGTATCCAAAGGTGTTAATTTCTGACTTCAACCGGTCCACGATATTGCTCAACCGTTTGTCATTGTTTTCAATATGTGAATGCCTCATAACAGACACGGTTGGATTCCACTGGTCATGGATTCTCACTAGAACTCCAGGAAATACCTCTTGAAGCCGGTCACTAGTGGGCATATGGTGACTATTATCAGGATGGAGGTTTGTGGGGACTGTAGTAATTTGATAGTTGAATTCACGAGCCGAATAAAGTCAGACCACAATGGAAAACCTGAAACTATTCGAGTACGTGTGAACTCCAAGTTGTTCAGCTGGGAAACTGTGCTTAGCAGAGCACCTCAAGGTACAGTTTTGGGGCCAGTGTTATTCATCTTGTGTGTAAGTGACCTTCCTTGTCTCCTATCATCACCGGTCTTGCTATGTGCTGACGATGTCAAGATATGGAGAGCGATAAGAAGTAAAGGTGATAGCTCAGAACATCAAGATGACTTGGAGAAATTATCTGATCTCAAATCTCACAGTTTCCGATAAATACATCCAAATGTATTGTGAGGCATACCGATCACCGTGGTGCAAATACATACATGATGAATAACAGTGAGCTACCTGTTGTCCAGACACAATGACTTCGGAGTCATCGTTAGCCAAAACTGCCGTGCAATAGCCGCCGAAGGTTTTAGAACCCTAAGGTCAATACATAGAGCCTTTAGTCATGTCGAGGCTAAAACTTTTGACTTTGTTTATAGTATCCGTGCATCCCAAACTTGAGCACTGCATACAAGCGGCTAGCTCCTCCTTAAAACGACAGAGAGATTCTGGAGAGGGTTCAAATAACGGGAACTAAGCTAAGTCCCGGAATACCGAAGCTCCCATGTGATGCTCGACTGGCTAAACTAAATCTATTCCCGTTGTCATTTAGAAAAGCTAGAGGTGACTTGATCTCAGGCTTAGAATTACTACATGATAAATTCGCACTTAATATGCCCTCACTTTTTCATCTTCCAAAACAGAGTCTACGAGGACACTCTAAAAATGTTCACAACCCAAGAGCAATTTACTTGTCAGCTGACTATCAAATTTCCCATGGAATCCATTACCTCAATACGTGATTGAATCTCCATCCGTTCACTATTTAAAAGTAAGATTGGATTAACTGAGAGACCACCATTGCCAGGACAAACACAAGTCACCTAGCCTTCCGTCCATTCCAATCTGAAACTCGTTGGAGAATCAGTCAGACACCATCGCGTGTATTCACAAACGAAGAATTCCTGATTGACAGCCTCTCAATCCTGGCTCCTCTGGGAAAGAGCGATCATGCCGTCATAACCTTCAGTTTTGTCATCAAAACTAAGCTAAGGTATCCCAACAATAATTTGCGTTGGAATTTTAAACGGCTGGATGTGCCAGCTCTACATGACTACCTACAACAGGTGGTTTGGGATGTTCACCCTCAACTCGATGTGGATGGTCATTGGGACTTCTTACTGCACACGCTCTTATGTGCTACAAACCATTCAGTTCCTCAAACGGTTCCCAAAAGCTGCAAGCCACCTGCAGTAATCAAGAACCGTACCCTTCGCCTGCTAAGCCGCAAAAGGCACTGTTGGGCGGAATACAAACGAACTGATAACGACGGAGCGAATAGGCAATATAAACATATCAGGAACATAGGCACGAAGGCTATAAGAGAAGACAGGCTTCAGTACTAGACAAAGCTTATGGACAAATTTGCCTGTAACCCTAGAAGCCTATTCCGTTATGCAGCCTCTCTTCGTCAAGCCAAAACAGGAGTTTCTCAACTGCTAGGTCTTAACGGCACGACCAACAACGATGGCGACGCCGCTAACCTTCTGGTGGCACATTACTCTCAAAAATTTCAACCGGCTGACATCAAGTGTACTGACGACAGTTTCATCTGCAATTCCACAGGACTTTCCGAAGTGGACCTAAGCGCTGACTTGGTGTTCCGGAAATTGCAGCACTTAAGTTTAGATACTTCTCCTGGCCCGGGTATGGTTCATACTGCCATACTGAGGGAGGCAGCCTCAATCCTGGCAACGCCGCTTAGCGTGATGTTTTCACACTCGCTTAGCCGAGGCAAATTACCGGAAAATTGGAAGTTGGCTCACATCACACCAATTTTCAAAGGAGGTCGACGCAATAAACCTTCAAGTTATCGGCCGGTGGCTCTTCTGTCATTACCTTCAAAGCTCATAGAGTCCCTGATATGCGACGGTTTAAACGACAATCTACTCTCCTTAAATTTCTTCTCACCCCAACAGCATGGTTTCAGGAAGGGTTACTCTTGTATAACCAACCTGCTGATTGCGGTGGACAGATGGACAAGCATCCTCGATCGCAAGGGAAAGATTGATATCATTTACCTTGATTTCTCAAAAGCTTTTGATAAGGTTAACCACTTGTGTCTTATCAATAAGCTCAAACGACTAGGTATCAAACCACCTCTAATCGATTGGCTTACTTCATACCTAAAAAATCGACACTTTAAGGTTAGGGTTAATTTCACTTTATCTCAGGCTATGGAATGTCCTAGTGGGGTCCCCCAGGGCTCAGTACTAGGGCCTCTTCTCTTCTTGATCTACATAAATGATCTTCCTCAACAGGTAAGGTCAGACTTATTACTTTTTGCCAATGACGTGAAACTTTAAAGAGATACTCAACCAAGACGATATACAGGCACTTCAGGAGGATCTGACTCGACTCCAAAGCTGGGCAGACGATAACGGACTTACCTTTAACACTTCAAAGTGTAAAGTAGTCCATCTGCGACTTGTCGCAAACTCCAGTTACAACTTAGGAAACTCCTCTCTAGTAGTATCACAAGTGGAAAAAGATTTAGGAGTCCTGGTGCCCCATGATTTAAAGTCTTACGCTAACTGTGACAAAAATGCCTTCCGAGCAAACCTTGCACTGGTAACATTGAAGCGCATTTTTGGCCGGTTTGACGGACGAACTTTCCATACAATCTTCAATAGTTTCATCCGTCCACATTTAGAGTACGGAAACATAGTACTCCCCCCTCACTCTGAAAGGACAAGGTCACTTTGGAGCGTATCCAACGGCGAGCCACGAAATCAGTTCGAGGACTCAAATCTAAACCTTACGAAAAACGCCTCCACTCACTAGACCTTTGCCCATTAGAGTATAGGCCTCTTAGAGGTGATTTATTGATGGCTTATAATATTCTTAACACTTCTGGACATCCTCTTAAACACCTACTTGAGCTTAGTTCGAATAATAACCTAAGGGGTATCACCCAGAAACTAGAGACACAACATAGCAAGACGGAATGTAGACATAACTTCTACTCCGTAAGAGTTGTCAAAAGCTGGAATTCGCTGCCGGCCGAGCTAGTCCAAGCGACTTCTCAGGAGTCCTTCAAGAGGCAACTTGACCTATTCTTAAGGACCAAGGACAGCATCACACTATGATTGCCAATTTCATTTCCTCTTTTATTGTTAACATACCTAGGTTCCTGCCTGGAGGATTTGGTGATCCCCTAATACTAGACACGGAAGCCTGTTAAGCGAAAGCTTCTTCTATTCCGTCCACAACCATTTGAATCATTTGAACTATTTTGATCACATAAAACCTACTGCGCTGAGATAAACTAAGGTTACACAAATCTACAAATAGAACTAGAGCAGTGGATTTTTTTAGACTGCTGAAAATTTGATCAAAGGTCTAGAAACGTACCGGTACATTAAGAAGCGAGCTCAGAGAAATCAATTATTCGGTCACAAAGATAATAGATGTTACTTATACGACCATGCCGAATGAGTCATACAATAGGTCTGTAATGTTATATATCAGAAATTGTTTCTACTAGACATTAAAGCTTCTTTTAGTGTGAGATTTTTACATTTCATGGGAACTATTTAATGCATTTGCTTTTGTTTCATTAACTCAATCAGTATATGGATCTCAGAATTACGCGGTATCTTTGAGCTGTTTACGAAGATGTAGGTATCTTATCATAGCTATCCTGTTAAACTAAGATTGTCGGTATAAATTAAATGCTTTTCTGTTTATCTAGGTCAGCCGATGCAGGAGCCACTAATGTTGCCAATGGAGGGACTCCTCAACCGCGACCACAGAACAAGCGCCTGCAACAAACACAAGCTCAGGTTGATGAGGTAGTAGATATCATGCGAGTAAACATGGAGAAAGTTCTGGAGCGCGACGCCAAACTTAGCCAGTTGGATGATCGAGCAGGTATGGTCCGCACCATAGATCTAATGTGTTTGCATTTTACGATTCTAAGTCATACCTTGCTACTTAGAAATAAAATTTGGTGTTCGCTACCTGTTTCTGTAAACTGTAAGTATGTAGCTCGACAAGAGAAAAATTAATGACGGGTATTGAAGTGATTACCACTTAAGATGGGTGAGGGTAAGCGCGTGAGCTGTTATAATTGGGCATTTCGTCCGAAGTTTCAGGTCACCAGTTCACATCATTCCGGGGACGTCAGACTTTAAGTTTAGACTTACTTACAACCCTCAGGTCAGCAATGAAAATTCCACTCAGTCTAGGAAGGTTGTGTATCCGATTATCCTCGCAATAAATACATTATATATGTGATGTAGCCTGCATATTATCTTCAGAATTCATTTTAAAAAGGCTGGTGGTCGTTTTATAACAATCTTTCGACGTAGTGAGTTATCTCTGATCAAAATGTTTTTGACTTTCCGTGACTCCTAAGAAAGCGTCACAAGAAGTGTGAACAGTAAACTGTTGACACATTACCCACTTCACTTACTGTCATTTATATAAGCACTGACACAGACCGATCTTGAATCAGGATTTTTTTATTAGGGAGAGACAAATATCTTGAATATGCTCAGTGTTCAGAAGAATGTGTCTCCCAGACATAGTAATCGGTGGTCATGTTCGATCATCGTTGTGTCTGAAAAGTAGCAACACCATGTTCGTGGTGTCGAAGTCAGCGTCTTTTCGGTAATGACTAAAAGTGAAATTCAGCTAAATGAAAATCGCGTCTATAGATATGCTTTCAACTCCCATGATACCAGTATCAAAATGTAATCCATCTCAACATCTGGGAACTTATGTGTAAAGACAGGTCAGTTGATTCAGTTTAAAAATGCGGAGCTACAAAAAAGAGGAGACAACTCACTCAATATTTCTTATTAACGAATGGGGTTCATTGTGATTTTCATTCTCACAGATGCTTTACAGGCAGGCGCTTCACAGTTCGAGGCCAGTGCTGGTAAATTGAAGAACAAATATTGGTGGAAAAATATGAAGGTATGTATGTTCAGCTATTTGAAAACCCTTATTGGTTTTAATTTCTTGTATGGTTTCTGTTGATATTAGTGAATAGCGATATTGATGAACTCTCATACTTTACGTTACTAATTATTCCGCCCTATTTCCGCGAGTGATATAATAGCATAACTTTATCGTCGGTGCTAAATTAAAAGACGGTCGAAGTTGCGAAATCGGTGTATTGTTATTGTACCTAATTAATTTATGTAGAGGGCCCTCTTGAGGTTTAGTCATCTTCACTTGCAGTACTATTTAATAAACAAGCTAAGGTTTGAGCCACTTTTAGCAGGTTGAAGATATTTCTGGCGTCGAAATATGAAACCAAGTTGGTCTGCAACAGATACCTGAAATGAAATAACCTAATGTCCTTAGGAGTTAGTCTTACTAGTGTTATTAATAATCTCAGTATCAAAACTGCTGGAAAAAACTATTCAGTGGTACGAAAATCTTTTTAGCATGAAATCTCACACCGAATTTACGATTCTGTTGATTGGATAATATACTGAAGCTGATACAATAACCTCTTCATTCAGAATAAGTCTGACCTACATAACTTTGCTAAAATTCTTATGTTGTTACGCCTTCGTTTTCCTAAATAAGCGTAATATTCTTAAATTATCATTGTGCCGCGGTAGGTCTCAACCGATCATGTAGTTTACAGGAATATCGTACTTCACAATGTTGTAGTTGGCACGTATTTTTCGGATAACTTTTATTGGTACTGGTTTCTAAAATGATTGATCAACAGGTTGTAGTGGGATTCAAACCAAGTTTACGTAAATCACTTCTCAGTTGAACTTCGAAATCCGACTTAAAGTGAGGTTTTGATGCCTCTCTGAACCTCATTATTCTTCTAAACCGTTTCGTGGATAACGGAGTCCGTCATTCACATTCTTTACAGTAGTTTCCGGTTTTAATCGATCCTAATATTAATAGATTAATATTAGACTAAACAGTATAAGTTTAATCAATAATAGTATTTTAGGGCCAGAGTTAACCCCTTTTTATTATTGGGATTTAGTTAGTAGTCAACCGTTGTGACCTATTCGGTAACAAACTGAGTCGGTGACTCATATGACTGACTCAGATCTGATTCGCATTCTTGAACTGTAGCCACCTATGTGTAGTGTATGGGGTTGACGAGTTAAATTGTTCTAGAGAACCGTATATCTTTACAGAACAATTAGAACAACCACCAAGATTTTCATTCCTATAATTCATATTACTACATAATATCTTGTTTATTTTCAGATGAATATAATCATTGGTGCAGTTGTATTGGTACTCATAATAGCACTAGGATGTAAGTATTTGTTGGTAATATGTAAATTTCTTTTATTGCATGCTTTATCCGTTGTTGTTGTATTTCGTATTCTGTGTATGGTTCATATACTGCGCTGTGATCGATCAAATCGACATTTGCTAAAATGTGTTTACGTCAACTATAATTCCACTTTAAACGAAGTGCTTGCATTGAACAAATGAATTTACTTCCGCTTTACCTATGAAAATGCTATTTTATTTATAGATTTGCTACATTTTTAGACTGAAAAGTCCAACTAGCCTGTATTCATACTCAAAAGACTTTATTTAACTATTGAAGAGATAGTATTTTATACAATTCCTGGGTTTGCAGGTGTATGTTTGTAAACTTTATATCATTAATCGCTGTACGATTTTGGAGTTTTAAAGTTTTTAATGTGTATATTTTGTTATTTCTTGCATTTGTTGTAAATTAGAATGTTGTGGCACTTAATGTCGTTGGTGTTGTGTCCTTCTTTTAAAATGTGAGTGTTATTTGGTGAGTTATATGTCCGCATAAGTTTCATATGCTTCAATTTTTGTAGATACATGAATAAGGTGCATTACAATCAATCATTTTTATTGTAAAGATTTTGTTCACAGTGATTCATGTTTATTTGTGCAAACTCTGTTAAACCGAATTTGTTGCTGACATAAGCATTCAGCCAATCACAAAGTTGAACCTGACACATATATACATCAGTTCAAGTTTCCACACCCAATTAGCACACTGAGATGAAATTGTCAGGGTAAATCGAAGAGCAATAGAGTTAGTAACAGTATTAGTGGTAATAGGGAAGATTACGCATAAAACATATAATTCGAAAAAAATATGATGAGAAAATGAATTTATGAGGAATTCAGAAACTTAGATGGAATCTAAGCTAAGACAAATTGTAAATGCACCTGCACACGATTATGATCCATGTCACCCTGTTATAATCCTGTTTTCTTACGGTTAATGACCCAGCTATTCCTATTGCTTAGTATTCTCGGACACCGATTCACTCGACAAGTCCCCAAATCAGAACACGGTTGAACAGGAAAAAGATTATATTCCAAATAGCAAATCAGAAGCCAGTAGGAAGCACAATAGGGAAAACATCAGTATATTTATAGTTTTTACATAAGAAGATTCTAGAGTCTTCTCCAACTATCGACCAGTGCTGATTGGATAAGAATTAGCCAATCAGCGTGCACCAAAGCAATCATGCATTGAGCATGCTTTAATCTAGTCTATGTCCCGCTAACACCTCCCCTCTGAGCAGATTCGTAGGATCTGGTGCTAGGGTCCAACTGCGACTGAGTGACTGGCTTGTGCTTTCGATTAGTCCATCGTCTAGGCAATGAAGAATTATCACTTTTTCCTTGCACAGAGACTGACATGTCTGTTCCCGGCGTTTTGATTTTTCTTAAAAAAAAGTATGCATAACTTTTAATTCTCCAACATTCTCCTCCTCCGCGAAACAATGTCGGATCCTTATATCTCCAAGTTACAAATAATAGGACTTTATTTAAACGATGTTTCTCGCATTGAATGTCGGATCCACTAGAAACGACTAGATGATAATGAACGACCTTTGATTTGAGGTCAAAGTTTAATTCTTCTGAAGCATTACTTTCAAATCCATTAGGAATTTCATCAGTGGATAATGGATCATTACGGAAATCATCATCTAACAAAATTAAATTAGAATTTTGACCATAATTTGACTCAGCTGATATATTTTCCTGATTTTTATGAGAAATTTCATCAAAATAACATGCATTGTTCTGAGAACCCATGTCTGATACATTGTCATTAGAAATCGGATAAACTGATTCAATATAAGTTTCCGTCTCACAATGATTTTGAGTAACATTCGGTATAATTGGGTTCGTTGTGTCACTGCAGTTATTTTCTGAATACGAGTCCCCATAGCTTTCTTGGTTAATATCACGTGGACCATAAATTTGTTCTAGCTGAAAGTTATTTTCAGAGCTAGACAGGACCAGTAGTGCTTCATTCAATTCTGGACTCCGGGCTTCATCTACAGGGTCTGACTCTTGATAATCTCGTATTGCCACAACTTTATGAGCATTCAGCACAGGATTTTCTTGCTGTGAGCCGGAAACGTTACAAATATTACGTTCTGATTCAGGTATAAAGGGATTTGAACCCTCCACTAGATATGCTTCTGAAATGTCTGTTACTGCATCATAAACAGATTTCTTATTTTCTGGTCGAGTGAAAAGCGTGTTCAATAGTTGTTGTTGCAAGGCTAACAACTTCTGCTGGTGCTGTAATATTAACCGCAACTGTTCTAAAGAAATCGCCATTTTTCTTTAGTTTTTCCCTGTCGCCACTGTTATAATCCTGTTTTCTTACGGTTAATGACCCAGCTATTCCTATTGCTTAGTATTCTCGGACACCGATTCACTCGACAAGTCCCCAAACCAGAACACGGTTGAACAGGAAAAAGATTATATTCCAAATAGCAAATCAGAAGCCAGTAGGAAGCACAATAGGGAAAACATCAGTATATTTATAGTTTTTACATAAGAAGATTCTAGAGTCTTCTCCAACTATCGACCAGTGCTGATTGGATAAGAATTAGCCAATCAGCGTGCACCAAAGCAATCATGCATTGAGCATGCTTTAATCTAGTCTATGTCCCGCTAACACCTCCCCTCTGAGCAGATTCGTAGGATCTGGTGCTAGGGTCCAACTGCGACTGAGTGACTGGCTTGTGCTTTCGATTAGTCCATCGTCTAGGCAATGAAGAATTATCACTTTTTCCTTGCACAGAGACTGACATGTCTGTTCCCGGCGTTTTGATTTTTCTTAAAAAAAGTATGCATAACTTTTAATTCTCCAACATTCTCCTCCTCCGCGAAACAATGTCGGATCCTTATATCTCCAAGTTACAAATAATAGGACTTTATTTAAACGACGTTTCTCGCATTGAATGTCGGATCCACTAGAAACGACTAGATGATAATGAACGACCTTTGATTTGAGGTCAAAGTTTAATTCTTCTGAAGCATTACTTTCAAATCCATTAGGAATTTCATCAGTGGATAATGGATCATTACGGAAATCATCATCTAACAAAATTAAATTAGACTTTTGACCATAATTTGACTCAGCTGATATATTTTCCTGATTTTTATGAGAAATTTCATCAAAATAACATGCATTGTTCTGAGAACCCATGTCTGATACATTGTCATTAGAAATCGGATAAGCTGATTCAATATAAGTTTCTGTCTCACAATGATTTTGAGTAACATTCGGTATAATTGGGTTCGTTGTGTCACTGCAGTTATTTTCTGAATACGAGTCCCCATAGCTTTCTTGGTTAATATCACGTGGACCATAAATTTGTTCTAGCTGAAAGTTATTTTCAGAGCTAGACAGGACCAGTAGTGCTTCATTCAATTCTGGACTCCGGGCTTCATCTACAGGGTCTGACTCTTGATAATCTCGTATTGCCACAACTTTATGAGCATTCAGCACAGGATTTTCTTGCTGTGAGCCGGAAACGTTACAAATATTACGTTCTGATTCAGGTATAAAGGGATTTGAACCCTCCACTAGATATGCTTCTGAAATGTCTGTTACTGCATCATAAACAGATTTCTTATTTTCTGGTCGAGTGAAAAGCGTGTTCAATAGTTGTTGTTGCAAGGCTAACAACTTCTGCTGGTGCTGTAATATTAACCGCAACTGTTCTAAAGAAATCGCCATTTTTCTTTAGTTTTTCCCTGTCGCCACTGTTATAATCCTGTTTTCTTACGGTTAATGACCCAGCTATTCCTATTGCTTAGTATTCTCGGACACCGATTCACTCGACAAGTCCCCAAACCAGAACACGGTTGAACAGGAAAAAGATTATATTCCAAATAGCAAATCAGAAGCCAGTAGGAAGCACAATAGGGAAAACATCAGTATATTTATAGTTTTTACATAAGAAGATTCTAGAGTCTTCTCCAACTATCGACCAGTGCTGATTGGATAAGAATTAGCCAATCAGCGTGCACCAAAGCAATCATGCATTGAGCATGCTTTAATCTAGTCTATGTCCCGCTAACACCTCCCCTCTGAGCAGATTCGTAGGATCTGGTGCTAGGGTCCAACTGCGACTGAGTGACTGGCTTGTGCTTTCGATTAGTCCATCGTCTAGGCAATGAAGAATTATCACTTTTTCCTTGCACAGAGACTGACATGTCTGTTCCCGGCGTTTTGATTTTTCTTAAAAAAAAGTATGCATAACTTTTAATTCTCCAACATTCTCCTCCTCCGCGAAACAATGTCGGATCCTTATATCTCCAAGTTACAAATAATAGGACTTTATTTAAACGATGTTTCTCGCATTGAATGTCGGATCCACTAGAAACGACTAGATGATAATGAACGACCTTTGATTTGAGGTCAAAGTTTAATTCTTCTGAAGCATTACTTTCAAATCCATTAGGAATTTCATCAGTGGATAATGGATCATTACGGAAATCATCATCTAACAAAATTAAATTAGAATTTTGACCATAATTTGACTCAGCTGATATATTTTCCTGATTTTTATGAGAAATTTCATCAAAATAACATGCATTGTTCTGAGAACCCATGTCTGATACATTGTCATTAGAAATCGGATAAACTGATTCAATATAAGTTTCCGTCTCACAATGATTTTGAGTAACATTCGGTATAATTGGGTTCGTTGTGTCACTGCAGTTATTTTCTGAATACGAGTCCCCATAGCTTTCTTGGTTAATATCACGTGGACCATAAATTTGTTCTAGCTGAAAGTTATTTTCAGAGCTAGACAGGACCAGTAGTGCTTCATTCAATTCTGGACTCCGGGCTTCATCTACAGGGTCTGACTCTTGATAATCTCGTATTGCCACAACTTTATGAGCATTCAGCACAGGATTTTCTTGCTGTGAGCCGGAAACGTTACAAATATTACGTTCTGATTCAGGTATAAAGGGATTTGAACCCTCCACTAGATATGCTTCTGAAATGTCTGTTACTGCATCATAAACAGATTTCTTATTTTCTGGTCGAGTGAAAAGCGTGTTCAATAGTTGTTGTTGCAAGGCTAACAACTTCTGCTGGTGCTGTAATATTAACCGCAACTGTTCTAAAGAAATCGCCATTTTTCTTTAGTTTTTCCCTGTCGCCACTGTTATAATCCTGTTTTCTTACGGTTAATGACCCAGCTATTCCTATTGCTTAGTATTCTCGGACACCGATTCACTCGACAAGTCCCCAAATCAGAACACGGTTGAACAGGAAAAAGATTATATTCCAAATAGCAAATCAGAAGCCAGTAGGAAGCACAATAGGGAAAACATCAGTATATTTATAGTTTTTACATAAGAAGATTCTAGAGTCTTCTCCAACTATCGACCAGTGCTGATTGGATAAGAATTAGCCAATCAGCGTGCACCAAAGCAATCATGCATTGAGCATGCTTTAATCTAGTCTATGTCCCGCTAACACACCCAAAGTCTTACAACTGGCTAAGATAACCACGTGGACACCAACCTGACTACATGGCTCAGTTTGACGATCAGTATCTTCACGGACTATCGACTCAATAACCACCTGTTCGCAGCGAAAACTTGGAAAAATTTTCATTTTATGCTGAATGAAATCACCAGGATCCACGAAATAACGCCTATTAGCTGTAAAAAAGTTATTCGCTTTTAGCATGAGGTGACTGATCAATAAGATGTATATTTAATGTCACTTCATACTGACTTTTACTCACGTAATTATATCGATCACAAGACTCCTTGATATTGAGATGATTCCAGTTAGTGTAGACTGCTCTCAATAATATCGTCCGGTTAAAAAGTAACCGCTCTTTGCAACGATTGGATCGGCAAATTGTATAACTAAATATGTTTATATAAATCTGCACCCCTTGGGCTTATTTAAGATTTCCTTCCAAAGATAAAAGTGTTCTAAGCATCCTACTTTATCGATCCGTTACTCTTAATGTCATGGTACTTGAGTGGATTTAGATTTTCGGCACTAGCATCCTTTGCTTTTTGAATAAATAGAAACTCCTGCTTGCTTTAGTATTCGTTTGTGCTGTCTACTTCGTCACTATGCTCCTTCTTCAGACATTAACATATAATTTCCAGTTAAAAGTGATCGAGATTCTTTGGTGTTTGGCACAGCGGGAGTTATTTTATCTGGATATTTCTAAGTAATACGTGGTATTTTCTATGGTCCAGTAAATATACGTGTCTTCACACAAAGGTTAATTTTTAAGACAAGTATTGTAGATAAGGTCAGTCAAAAAAAGCGTTCTTCCTTGCCTCGCTCATCCTTTACTACGTACTATATTATGATGATAAATTTATTCAACTTCATTGATCTCTCTAATAATTCTGTCCTGATATCCATTCTTTGGTATATGTCATTTTTCTTAACTAGTTTAAAACAGTCGGACCGGAAAAGTTGTTTTTCTAGAAAGCCTAGTTGAAGTTCAGTAACTTTTTATCAGGTTGCTAAAATTGTGGCTGGCTGTTTATTATCTGAAAACCATCAATTGCAGTATTTGACTATCCAAAGTTTTTTTAGTCAAAGTTAACTCACGTAAACAACAGTTAAATATGTCTATAACCCAGAAAGACAACTCACAATTCAGTATCATCTTCAGGAGTTTCTACATTTAACTTCTGGTATAGGGTTCTTAAACTGTTTTCTGCACATTTAGCTAAAAGATTTCTAGTAATCTGTTAAGCTTGTCACACCCTTTTCGCGGTTTTCACGATTATTTTTTGTCAATTCATTTTATACAGGGTATATATTTGGCGGGAAGTAAGTTGTTTTCGCTTATCTATTTGACTGTGATAATGGGTTTTTTTGTTAAGTGCTTATCACGGTGTTGCGTGTGTTTATTATCATGATGTTGACTAGTCGGTCGGCTCTTTTGATTACTTGGAGTAATATCTTATATGATTGTTTTGTTCTGTCATTGATTGCATATTAGTAAGAACATAAGATCTCTGTTTCTCTATGCGCAATAACAGATAATCATCATCCTGCACAAACCTGTTCCATATGTGTCTCTCCCACTTCTCATTTTTACATACTTTATTTAGCTGATATTCAGTTTTTATCATGTCACTTAACCAATAATAAACATTTGAGGATTGTTTTACCACTTAAGGTGCACATTGTTAAACTGCTCATTTATTATTGAACAATCAAAATTTGTTTGAGACTTATGTTTAGTGAGTTTTTTAGACAGTTGAGGTGAAAGTATGCGATACTGACGAACTTAAATGACTTATCAGCCGATCAATAAACTGCCTAATTACTAAACAATTAACAGCAAAAGACAATAAAATACAGTAGTATAGTTGTCTTGATCTAAATAATCAGCCTTTACGTGTCGAATTATTGGTTGTAGTAAAAGGAAAAGGTTATGTTCACATATTAGTTTTGTGAGCTGGGGTTATCATCCTATAAAGATCTCGTCACCATCTGTGATGCAAAATGGTCAGAGTTAAGCTAAGGCTCTGATTTGGGTTTCCAAATAAGATTTATGGTTTTCATCAACCGACATCAGGTATGGCGCAATGTTTTGTTTCCCTTCTGTTTACAAGCTTAAGATTTAGAGTTAGAGAGGGAATATTACTTAGTTTCACTAAAAACTGAACTACGCACTTAATCACATCAAGTACTTTAACACACAATCTGCCTTAGGAGCGGACATGTTTTGCAATTTAGCTCAAGCACCACCTAAAATTCAATTTTTTTGGTTGGATAATAGGTATTTTTACTGATTTCAAGAATCTTAAGAAACAAATATTACTTATTTTCTATCCGTTAATAGTTATCTACCACTGCACTTTAAATTTCTACCTAAATACATAAAACGTTATTTTAACTCGAGCCGCCAGTATACTATACCTTCACCCCTTTAGGTAGTTGTATAGATTTTTGTTCATAAAGTTATTTTTGACTTTCACATGGTTGATATAAAAAGTATGAACCAGTGTGCAAAGTTTAGGTATTCTCAACTTATTATGAGTTGTTTGAATGGCGTATGCTCTCCGTATTATTGAGCAACGCATGGTGTAAACAACTCTTATAAGCTCATTCGTCACTTTATTTTATGTGATAATTAATTTAACTCACCAGTCACATGTGATAATGCTATCCGGTTGCCCAAACAAAAGTAAATGGAGCGGGGGTTCAAACCCGGGACTCAGTGGCTGAAAGTTGAACGTTTTAACTATTAATTCACACCAACAACTTAATCTTGTTCTTGTGTGATAATGTATTTTAATTCGAGTGTATATAAATATATTTTAGAACTGTCGATTGATTCCAGGTTCCCGGAATTTGCATTGTTCTTCCGATTGATAATATCTACGTTTTGTTTTATGGATTACGGCAAACTTATGTTCCTTCGCTGGTGCATTGATTTTACACAAATACAAAGTAAAATCATATTGATTTAGGGCTAGGGGATTAGTAATTGCGGTTCTGGAGTCTCACCTCACTCATGGTAACCCAATACATATGCTAGTATAAATGGATGGTAATTAAACACTCAATAAAACGGTTACCATATTCATTTCGCAGGAATGCTATCAACTTTCTTATATATGTATAAAAGGAGAGCGGTGTTGTTTTGTATCATGAATTACCCATTAATGGGGTCTATACAAAAAGCTATGCTATATTGTTTATTTCCTTATATTGATTAGGCTTTGTCAACAGTGTAATCTATCGGAGTAGATTTTCACTTTTCATAATGATTCTCAAAATTGTATGAATCAGTCTGCGACAATCAACTTAGTGGCAGAAAAGTATTTTGACACAAGCTGCTATACCACATCAGCAAGATTCGATGAAATTAACAAAGCAACTGAAGAGTCTAAATAATAGTAGTATAATATAAACATTGAAAATATGGTTAAAAAGAAGGTACCTTTGTGGGATTGTCTAACTTAACTATTAGTGTCCAATTAAAGGAGTTTTCACGAGGTTTATTTGCCTTTCTGGTATATGCCATTTAATGGCGAACACTGGCACTAAATCTTTGGATTGGAAAGGTCAGACACTGCTCTTTAGTCAGAATACTAATCAGTTGGGTACCAATGTGTCTGAATCTATTTTAAAGCCTCGTTGAGATTAGATTTTTGGTCAATACATCTACGTCCAGGTCGGAAACACGTTTCCTTTGGAATTCTACTTACGCGTTGGGTTATTGTGGGAACTGATATTTTAAACTTTTAGTTAAACAGATTTCTCTAAACTTGCCACATGATCCCAATCTTTTATTATAGGCTGGGACAATCACTGATAAAAACCAGTCAGATATGACTAGATTCCATTTTTAGACTATCTCTAGTGTGTCGCAGCCAACCTAAGTGATGAAACTGATCCCTTATCCTTAAAGATATCTGGTGTTAACGTAAGAGATCATACTGCGCTACTTCGTTTAAATTTAGATATGATCTTTCTGAATTTCGCAAATATTTGGGCGACTTGTGTTAGATTGTTTGAAAGTAATGGGTAACTTGGGAAAGAATGAAAGTCAGTTAAAATATCTCTTAAAGTTCCCTATCCATGATTACAATTCGCTGAGCAATGAATTGCCGTTGTCTTTTTTTGAAGTAGTCTCACCGACGGCTGATATTATAGTACCTAGTGTTACCCATTGCTGTTGCATCCTCAATCCAATTTGCTTTTTTTGTCAACAATTGTCCGTGATCGTTGTCAATTTACTTTGAAGTCGTTTTTCATCAATTCAGTAAAAGCTTATAAAATCTGTTATTTCCCTAACTTTTGGTTTAAACTAGTAGTATCAGCGCTGTATTTTATCCAGTAAAACGCATCAAAATGCACGCTCTATGAGAAGCGGTCGTCTTCTGTCACACACATAAATGGTAGCTGGTAGCAAGGCAGTCTATTTTTGTCTATCTCGGGGGTCACCTGGTTGAATAGTGTCTCTCTTTATGATAGTTGGTACTTGCTAAGAATAAATGATTATCTAATCCATAGTTACTGACCAGAAATAGCATTTTGTTCACATTAGTGACACACATGAAACTCAAAGCTAGATGAGGACGGGCGATACTGAAAACAGAAAAAAGGTGAAGCAGTGAATAAGAGATTTGAGTGTAAACAAAATGACCTTCAAGTATGAGGGCACTTATCATTTCTCAGACCCACATACTGTGGAAGATTGTCTTTTGACACCTGAGAAGACGATTAATAGTGTCACCGCCGTCATATAGCAATCTAAAATGAAGAAGGCAAGCAATCTGTACTGCAAGCACTTAAAACTGAGAGTACACTATAATGAGTATTTAAATAACCTGATTCACGCGGACTAAATTATGTCTCACGTTAATTTAATGACTGTTCAGAAACTCGTTCCTATCGAAACGTTCTAACATATCCAGAGTAAATAGTCGCATTACGAAAACTTACCCGATACATCCTGTAGCATGTAAGTTTGCTGGGTCATAGTTTACAACACAGTTCCAGTCAGATAGTTGGTTAGTAACGCAAAAACATTCTTGGTCTCATTAAAAGGTGTACTAGACGCGTCCACTACCTTGCTAGAGGTTTTTTGGTTAAATAACTATTGCTAAATCATGGCTTATAAGGTGCCATACAGAAGTTTTACGTCAAATAATGTATGTTAGGGTTTAACAGTCGGTCATATGCAACGTAGATTCTGACATGTACATCGGTTCATGCTGCCATATCACGTTAGCACAGCGACATAAAGTTGTCAAGATAATTCCCAGAGTAGTAACGGTAGAAAATAACAAGTATAGAGAAAGGTGTGAGAAAATTTTGGAACTCAAGTCTTGGAGTGAATACACTTCCACCATTGCAAACGATTGTGAGCCATGTCACCCACGTTTTCAAATCATTAGGATCTGCCAATTTCATCTATTTTTTCCATATCTTAGAGGCATCAGTTTTTTCTTAACCTCTTAGCTATGATCCCATATTGAGAAACACTTATCAACCCGAGATACACAAAACAATTCCATCTGGCAAAAATTCACCCAAACGAGGACTGTTACTCTAGTTGCTGTTCTTCAGAAATAACTAGTTTGGGATTGAAAGTCAAAGTAATTGTATGTGTTGGTCGCCTCGTTTATCTCACTAGTAATATATTTGCCTACATAAGTACTATAGAACCCTTTCATTCTGAATATCAAATTACTTAACAGTATGTTCTAAGGAAATATACTTCATGTATTTTTCGTTTAATTTCGAGGACTATGCTTACTTTGGAAGTCATCCAAGTTATCAGTTCATTGATATGTAGCCTATAATCCTTGCCGATTATATTCATTCTAAGTGGGTTAATGACACGTACAGATGAGTGAGTCCTTGAGATGTATACCACACTAAGTGTATGAAAGGTGATCTCGCTAGTATAAAATTGTCACTTGTCGAGCCTGAAATGTTGAGTATGGGAAGATGTTTATAAATGGTTGATAAATGATTATAATTTTTCGTTTTTCTATTGGATTCTTTCTACCACGAGTCTATTTTACACAATGTTTTCCTTCCATAGGAAACAAGAAGCAGCTCCTGCACCAACAGCTTTACCTCCTCCAGTACAACACGCCGCACCAAGTTCTCAGAGTCAGAAACAGCCGTTGAAGCATGAAGCTTCTCACAGGCGTCGTCGGGAAGCTTCAATGTTCGGCACTACTCCCCAATAACAAAACAGAAACTATTAGCATTCATAGAAGTGGAAAGTTATTCCAATCAATAGGACTACTCTATCTTTTATTTTCACGTGCTAACGCGCGAAATATGCATCTGGAAACCTAATCACTAAGTTATCCTATTATGCATTATGTCGATGACCTCCTATCTTCGTCTAACTTGTTTCATTTACAAAAGAAATCACCATTTTGGTGTTTTGTATGTGATTTCCTTCCTCGTGTTAAACTTTTTGTCAGTATCATTTGTCTCGCGTCAGTTCAATTGATTCTTGCCATTAGGGATTGTAAAGCATTTCATTGTTGTTTAACTCCGGAGTTAAAACTATAAATTCCCGTATGATTTGCATTAATTACGTTTACTTATGTTATCATAAATCATGAAAGCTTATGTTCAACTTCCTCTCGTATTACTCTTTTTCAAATCGACATTTGGATAAATACACATAATCATAGTTATATATATATTTATGAACTGGAGTGTGCTACAGTTATAAAAGGGGGCATTTACAACTCGCACAGTTCTTGTATTCGTTCTTTCGTCATGAAAGCGCGACCCACACCAGTTTTCCGATATTCACTACGCATACTTAAGTATTCCTCTTCAAATTTTTTAAGTTCATCTAGGTCTAGAAGGTACCTGAAGAAAGAAGAGAAGTGCATTCAAATGACTCATTGTGCAAATATTAGGATGGCTTCCGATATAAATGGTTAGACTCAGCTTTATTTGTTTTCGTTTAAGTGATAACGTATATTTAGATAAAACTATCTTACCTCATCTGACACTGTTCAAATATCTGATATTTAGGTTTGCATTTCCAGGTACCGAACCACTCGCCTCGTTTTCCACGTATGCACTTTCGCCAATCCTTCCACTCTTCTACACATAATTCACTAATAAGTTTCTCTTGTACAAATTTTGAAATTACGTTGCTGCGTTCTGTACTCGAAATATACTTACTGTTAGGATCACCTGATTAGACATATAAAACAACAGGCAAGTTACCAAACCCAACTGGGCCTCCAGTATAAGAAGCATAGCCTTGCATCTTATTTCTTGTAGATTTTCACGATTAACTGTGTGTATTGTTAAGCTGAAACGAGAATAAAACAATGACACATAGTATCTCCGGAACTTATTGTAAAAGCAAGTACTAAAAGGCGGCTATAATGTCTCCCTATCTAGTATTTTTTGCGGGGATCACGGATCAGCATGAGTTTCGAACTGTTCAACAGTATAAACATTTAACTTTTGTCTCCATCTTCTCTTTATACGTTAGGTGTGGCTTAGAAAGCCACATAGTTTTTGGGTTTGATAGTGGGAATATTAATATGACATAAGTCCCCAAGTATGTTACTCCACGGAGTGTCAGTCATGACTTCTAAGATAGGCTACTTGGTGAGATTTTTAGACTGCAGTTAATTATACTCTTAAGTATTTCGACACACCAGGTAGATATTGCATTCATCCGACTATAGATCATTTCACAAACATTACCAAATTGTCTGTTTACGAGAAATCATGAACTAATTTGATGACTGCGTTAGGTTTATTTGTAGCTGTGATGAAGTAACTCTGATCAACCAGTTTGTATGATTTGCCTAGTCTAACCACATAATTGTTTAAAAATGTGAGTTTTATTGAAGTACGCGTGCAGATGTCTTACTATGAGTAACACCTGAGGTTACTTCTGGAGATATGGCCAGCTGGTTCCATAGTTTGTACGAATGCCTGACCAAAACAATGGCAGAAAACGGTAGTGTAGGAAAAACGGTCCATATAATCTTCCAGAGGTCTATACTGACAATCAAACCGCTTTGAAACCCTCATACAGTTGGAAACTAAGGGATCTACTATCAGAAGTCGTTAAACCTTACATTTAACTGACAGATTCACAGTGTTAAATTTGCCTATCAATTAAAAACAAACATGAAGGATACCCTAGTTCGTTCTATGCGGTGGGCTGATACTATTCTGCCGTCCATGCTTCCAAATTTTGAATTAATTGCCACTGAACACCATGTCAGTTAAACGTGTATCTAGTGTATACTTTTCACACATGTTACTTAAGAAACATGTCAGTGATAGTACCTAAAAATGACAGCTCGAAAGATGGATAAGCGCTTTCTCAAATATTTTGGAAGAAAAGGTAGTGTTTCAAATAATCTCATGAATTGAGCATCCCACAGTTTCTTGCAGTAACTACGTATACGTCAGATAAAAACTAAAGTATGGGAAAGGAAACCGCAATTTCGGTCTAAAACACTACTCAAATCTCAGTGGAATCGGAAATTTACGGACCAGATTTTAGGGCTTAGAAATACACATACCCAATCAAACAACAAAGGGGATCCTATTGCAATAAAACTGTGAATACAAATCTTCATGTGCACGTTTTAACAAGGTGAGAGAGTTTTACCATTAAGCATATCACTTAGTATCAGGTAGCTCACTTCATGGCGTTTATTATCCACCCATATAAAGTAAGATAATCCCCCATAATGACTCCGCCAAATCAAACTTACCTCCTTGTCTTAACGGCCTTGAGTGATGGCAGAAAAAATGCAACTCATGAGTAACTTTACGGTAAGAAATTCTAGTTACGTTCATTAGAGTACACTGATCCCATGTTTGTGTTACCTCTAACTGCTATCGATTGTTTTGATCAGTAATAAATGACACATTCCATAGGTTTACTGAATCGTAATTTCATTTTGTATTTCGATAGTTACTCCTCTTTATTCTCTCACGATCTGTGCCTCACACTCCTTCAACACCTGAGGTATCTTCAGGCTAGATCTTTACCTGTCAAAGACCGAACGTTACAGACATTATGAATCTGTTTTCTGTGCACAATAGGCGTATTTCGTGCTCATTTTAGTGGGTGAACAATGCATATAAAGCATACTTTTAACTGAGGATTACCGTTGTAGCTCTATGTCCTCCAGTGTTTACTTTATTCGTCTACGACGTTTGCGAAGCGCATAGAAAACTGAAACGAAATCAATTGCGGGAATTATGACGTTTTATTCAGCGTTCATCCAATTAGTGAATTTGATTATACTCTGAAATGCCAGATGTTGAGCTTTTATTGGATACTGAAGATGGATGGATACCCTCACACTGTATATATAGTATGAAATTTGACCATATGACTAGAATTACACTGTGAGTAAGCCTCTCTGTAAGAAGCTATTTTCTACAGGTATAACTCTAAGCTATTCTCTAGACCATCGAGCACAGCGTCTTGGTTTAACCAATGTCAAAATTATTAAGTTATTTGGCTTGATAAACTTTGCTTGTTTCTAAGGCATAAATTATCATAGTTAGCATACAAAATAAACAATGCAATCCATCAACCCAGGCAAACACAGAAACATAAATAACATACCGAACAGTAGCTAGAGGATAGGAAAAATGAGACAACAAGGCAAATATTGTTTTATTACGAACATAAAATTGAGATTGATGAATAAACAAGACAGTCATACAAGGTTAAAGAAAGTTAATGTGGTGGTAAGCGTTTCACTTTATCGCTGGTGAGTTCGTTTATCGATCACACCTTGCATCACGGTGAGGTGAAAGTATATGAAGGTCCGACCTAGCCTGAGGGCTCGATGCATGCTGAGATAGTACAAAGAAATACGAAGTGGGTAAAAGCAAAAATAATAGTTAACCGATGAATCATTTTGGTGTTTTCTACATCCCCGTTGCAAATGACCTAAATGTGAATGTCACGATAACACACTCAACACCTAACCTTGCAAGTAACTAAAAATTTGCCACCCCGTGGCCATAACACTTAACAATATTTCACTCTCATATAGCCTCCGTAGTTCAAATTTTATATTTTCCAGTTTTTGCACCACATCTTCTAACTGTTCTTCTTTTGTTACATACTTCGTACATTCTTCTCATAACTATTCAATAGACAGCTAACTTTTGAGTTTCCTACTGACCCCAGAACATTTTGCACACATTAGACACTCAGTTTGCTTCGGAACACGACTAAAATAACTTACTATGGCCAGGAATTACTCGGGTGGGAAATCTGGAACACTGAGTAACTGTTCGTAAGAAACATCATCATCCATAATGTGGTGTGAGTCCCTCCTTATTTGTTTCCTATCGGTTTTCTTTTTTTACCATGTATGTTGCTATCCGAACACTGCTTTCCAAATCCTTACTCACTACATTAAAAGTATTCCATTCAATCACTCTTTCACCAGCTAGTTTACTTCCGCTAACTTGTTTTGCTTGGAAACTGATACTTTGCGGGATGTCTCGATTTTCTACATACGGTCTGTCAAACTATCTGTCCAAAAAGCTTGTACATGGTACTTTTAAAAAGTGCTTTCTATCAAGGTGTGGAGCACAATTGAAATGTAGCGAACAATTGCAATCTAATAATTATTCCCAAATGAGTCCAGTATGGAAAAGAAATTGAGGATAGAGTTAATTACCAGCAAGCATCAGCGATTCCAATCCACCCAAGTTCGTAGAGCGGGACATTTCATTCGTCCGCAGGTCTTTACAATTGATGGTGTAGTGAACAGAACACGAGTGGGGACAATCGAATGTAATTAGCACAAAATTACTGACTATCTCAATAAAATCTGAATACCATAAAGTCAATCGTCAATTTGCAAAATATCAATGCATCATATCAAACTGAACTGTTTCCGTTGCAAACACTAATCCATTGTCTCCCATTCCATTGTACATGCGTTTTCTTACAAATTTCATTGTGCTCTCGCTCTTCCTTTCTTGATCTTCACCTCATCTTCTGCTGCCAGATATTACGTTTTAACTCGCGACATATACTAATTATATCAATATAAGTAGAACACACCACAGTGGCAATACAACTATTCAATTAGTCTTGAGTCTGCTATGTCAGATATATATACTATAATTGCTAACATAATAAACGTTTCGTTGGTAAAGGAACCAAGCAAAAATCATTAACACCTATCAATATTGTAACATTCTGATTATCCAAATCAAAACTTAGTTTTATAAGGTTTCAGATGCATCGCGTATGCTTGAATTTGAAACTTCCACCAACACTTTATAAGAATCATGAGATGAAATAACGAAGGAATATTAGCTGAGAGACACCTTTGTGATAAACTAACTCGGCAGAACAATAAAAACATGAAGTTCAGCGAAGACATCTCTCTTCAACGAATTTATTATCAAGCTGTACAATCGTATATAAATATTAAAATTTTTTGTTAAGGTACTAATTCCGCAAAGAAATGCGAACACGAATAATCAAGGTGGCGCAATAGTAAGATTACAATACTAGATTACATTATGCGAATAATCATAAGAGATTTAGTGAATGTAATAAGATCATTAAAAAGATTATATGATGATTAGGAGTAGTTGAATTATAGTACGAACTAAGAATACCAGAAATAACGTAATCGGATCAAGAAGTACTAGCCAAGCACGAACGAATGTATTGTATTTGGAATTAGAAATCAAGCATTCAACAAGTACAAAGGAATCATCAGTTCATTCAAACACCACAGATTAATAATCATTTTTGTTGCAATAATTAAAGACCATAGAGGTGTAGAAATAAATAAGGTGATACGACGAGCATTTATGATAAGAATAATGAGAATATAAGACATAAGTGAAGGGTAATATAGTGATAATAATAATGTCAATTAAGACCATGGTGACGATAAAGGTAGGACGTACTTCTTTTGTATGCACAGTTCTGGTTTTACAAGGTGAAGTTGTAGTGGCATTGGACAATAGCCACACAATCCACAAAGCTGTGAACACGAGACTACTCAGAAAATAGATATTCAATATTTAACGCGGAGAAATACCTAACAATGGAGAAGGCGCGAACAATGAATTGAATGGACTGGAGTTGGTCGAGTGGCATGGCTCGTCCATGCAGACGTGGTCCATCTTAGTGTTACTTCATATCTTCTATTCATATCAAATATATTGTTCTTTCTCTTGCCTAACCTTGTTCCTCATCATGTATTGGTAATTGATACGATACAGTGAGTTGGTGTAGTCGATGGTGTGACTTCCACGTAAGATCTTATAGATTAGGCAGTTATATCATGACAAATCGACAAGTTTAGGATTAGGTTTATTATTAGAGCAGTACTAATATCATAGTAGACCACAGTTCTACATTGGTGAGCCCAACTAAAGAAACGCAACCTATTATTATTAATCCTTATTTCCACTTCAACTTTCTCGATCGATTTTATATTTATGTTAACCCTGTATTCCAATAGTCCTCTGATTAATGCTCACATGCATTATCGTGATGTTATATTGATTAGTCCTCATGACAAACTAGCTCAATCGATAATGAAAACTGGTCGTCTATATTAACTAATTAGCTTTGATGATTTGTTAACAAGCTGTAATAGCATTTACATGCTTCAGCGACATAGTCTTGTTTAAACATCAAGCTCTAGCAAATATGACCTGTAAATAGCGTAAATATACATTGACTAACAATGCGATCAAGGACTAAATAGTTATCTGGATCTAATTCTCAGTGTTCCTTCACTTATCACCTCATCCTGTTTTAAACGATGCACTATCCTGTAATATCTTTTCTTCCGACCACTGCCTGCCTAATTTCATATTCTCGAGTTCCATTGCCAAACAACGAGGATGACTACTCCAAAAACATACGGTGAGTTTCATCTATAGGTTTTCTGCAATCATAAGGTCATTTTAGATGGCTCGTTCAATAACAACTACACAATTAACTGAATTCATTCGATTGTCCTGATCCGAGCGAGTGGCAAAAACGTCAATAGCATCAAGCATCCCGGAATTAATTGCCATACCGCATGTTTTATTCTGGATACTTTTGGATCATTACTACTCCTTGCGAATGGCGTTATATATGTCGTCCACTGAATAATCTAATTTTTAGAAATAATCCAGGCGAGTTCAACTATTTTACTTAATGATTTTTTTAATTAACATGTATATGTTTTCCGGTTCCTTTTGCTATATATTTGTAAGTGTCCCTAGGCTAAATGCAGTAACTTCTTATGGAATGTTTATAACGCATCATATTCCTGCCTGAAGTTTCACAAGCAGTCTTAACTTTAAAATTATTTTCTGGTCATGTTCATTATTTTTAAATCGTCATATACGTCAACAACCTGCATGTTAACCTGGCCCATACATACGTTACACTATATCTCCATGTCTTATAAATTTAGAAATCATCTGGATCGCCTTTAACATTTATCAATAAACCCATCATAGTCGTTGTTGCTAATCGTATTTGGGTTTATGGATTGGTTTAACATATTAGCAGCCTAAAATGCGAACATAGTTTAGATAATAAGATTAAAAATTTAGGTACTATCAACTGCACTAGTAAAATAACTAAATCCCCAAGTAGCTGTTGGCTAAACAAACGTTTAAAATCAAAACTCAGTAGCCTACTAGAATGAACACTAAACGAATATTTCTGAATTGAAATTTATAATTAAATTAGGCGTCTCGGATTCTTTAACGTTATAAATTTCTGATGATTTTGAATCACCTAAAGCAACAATACCTATTTTTCCACTGACTAATCCTCAGTCAACACTATAACTAGTTAAATTTAATAGT